TTGTTGCTTTGGCTGTCATTGCTGGCGGCACCACAGCAGAGATATATAGTTGCAGCAAAAATTTCTCCACTGTCACGCCCTGGAAACCAAGCTGAGCACAAAAGTGAGCAGGTTCCAAGGAATAGAATAGGCGCCCGGCACGGGCGCTAAAGTAGAGTGGTCGTGCCTCTCTCTCGTTGATACATGTAAGGCTGACGCCATGGGTTAACGTGAGCGACGACCCACGCGGCAACGGCGGCAACACGTGGCTCCGTCTACGAATCGCCCGAATATTTTGCCACAGGTCGTAACTTTTGGAAAAATATGCTCGAAAGTCGTAACTCTTGAAAAAAACTCCCCGTAGTACTATCGCCTCGGTAAAGACCAACACTCATAGATATTCACGGATGTACATGAGTGATAGTCCAAAACATCTAAGCGGTTTGTCACATCACATTACACATTGCAGAGACGTCGCCTATACCAGCTGCCAACATAGTACATGTATTATACCATGCGATTTCATCGTCTTGCCAATTCGGAGAGCATTGGAAGGCGCACAACTACATTTGCTTTGAATGAGTGACGACGAGGACGCGACCACTCTGCAGACGATTGCGCGTGATATTGCGAGGGTCCACTGCTGCCTGAGCGAGGCTAACGTATGGTGCAACCCCACCGTCAAGCTCGGTGACCTTACCGTTGCTTCGTGGCCTCTCTCAACCGAGACTGCGGGCGCTATCATGACCAAGTACCCCGAGCGTGTGCCGGCCAAGGACGTCGCGATCGACGATCGCTACTTTGGCGCACTTTTTCAAAACTCGGACATCCTCGGCGAGCTGGATCCAGCGCCAGATCATTCCAATTACTTCTCGATGGCGTACGAAGCGACGCTGGCGCATTTTGCGATCGACGTGACCGGCGACGCAACCAAGTTGAAGCCGGCAAAGAAGCGACGGCCTCGCCATACCTTTGCAACTGTCATCTACTTCTTCCCGTCCAACTGCGTCGGTGGCGCCGTCACCATCTCGGACAACGACTGGACGACGACGTTCGAGGCCGTCGACGGGTGCTTTCTCTCGTTCTACAGCACATGTGACGTGACGGTGGCGCCCATCACGTCCGGACACCGGGCTTGTGCTGTGTATCACGCTGCGTACGACATGGAAGAATCGGACTGGCGCAGCAAATTGCCCAAGGCTTGGTACGCGCCGCGGCCGCTGCCGTCGGTCCAAGTCCTCCAAGACGTTGCTTGCCAATACGATCCGGAAGGTTACATTGCCGTGTCTTCTGCAACTTCGTTGATTGGCGTCTGGTGATAGACCTCTTGGACGATCACCGGGGTCGTGCATAGTGGATATTCCAAGAGCGTTGAAAGGCGCACAACTACATTTGCTTCGGATGAGTGACGACGAGGACAAGACCAGTCTGCAGACGATTGCGCGTGATATTGC